GGACACCTGCCCGACACCCGGCTCCCGCTGGGTCCCCGCCCGCCCTCGGCCGCGCAGGCGGAAAGCTTTTCCCTTGCAGCAGATCTCGGCGTCCCCTGGCAAAGGCAGGGAAGAGTTAATCCCGGCCCTCTTCAGGAGAGCGGGGGTAGGGGTTTATGCTGGCAGACTGCTGCTCCTCCGGCCCCCTCATCCTTCCCGCCTCCACCTTCCCGCGATGGAGGCTTCTGTCTCCTCAGAGCATCACCCGGTTCCTGTTGCTTTCCTCCCGTGAGGTGTTTTTAGCTCTCGTGTAGCGACAGTTGAGGCCTTTCTGGTACCAGGAAGATGGGAGTCGTCACCCCGTGTATGTGCAGCAATTGCCTCCTACATCTCTGGGCATGCTGATAGAAGCCGGAAGGGTTTTTTGGTTTGGGTTTTTTTTTTTTTCTAATCCGTTTCTGTCTTAGTTTCACAGTTCGTAAAATTTTGTTCTTGCCCTATGCTGCTTTTCATGTGTATTTGTGCCTGTGGTTTTGCTTTCCTCTATTTTTATAAAATTTTGTCTTGCCCGTTTTTGGCAATACCATACAATCACCTTGAATTTAAATTCCTTCCCTTCACACCTTCTGTACACTGACCAAATTCATATCATCAACAGATTACATATGTGTCTAAACCTTGTTTAAGTCAACTTCATCAGCTGGTTTTCTTTTTCTTCTACACTATCAAAAAAGGAAAGATATAATGTAATTTGCACCCCGTAAGTCACCACTGACTGTATTTTAGTCATCTGGATGATGCTGTGCGAGTGCTTTTACATTTCTTGAGTGGTGCTTTGCTATGGTGTCTTTCCTGGTATTGGAGCTGCATGGGAGCACTAATTCCCTGGATCTTCTGTCTTGCCTTTTAAACACTTGATTTTAAATTGTCCAGTCTTCTGGGACCTCCTTCACCATCCAGGAACTAGCAAAGATAACAGCAAATGATTTGGGTTGCCCAGAGAGGGTTCTGGGATCTCCATCCTTGGAAGTTTTCAAGGTGCAGTTGGATGTAGCCCTGAGCATCATGGTGGGTCCCCATAGCTGCCCATCCTTTGAGCAGGAGATTGGATGAGAGAACTCTTGAGGTCCCTTCTCACCTCAGCTACTGTATTTAGCTTCTCTGAACTCTCCTTACTCTGTTCCTTCTTAGGCCTCAGTAGCAATGGGGAAAAGAAGATTTATGCAGCTTCATGTCTTGAAATTAGCTGCAGATCTCAATGATATGCTGAAGGAGGATGGGTATGTTCCTTCTGAATTGTTGGGAAAGTAGTGTGCAGTCTTGTAGGCATCCAGCAGCCATGGAGGCTTTGATGGTTAGGACAAGCAACATGGAAGAGAGGGATTTTGCAGTTTTACAAGTGATTTGCAGGTGAATCCCACATTTTTGAATGCAGGATTTTACATTGTCCTACGGGAATAAATGTGAGCATTTCACTGCAAGTTTCCCTGTGTTAGCTGAGAGAGATTTGAGCACTGAAGACAGCAGCTGATATCTCAGTCCTACTCCAGGTGCTGCAGGCATAAATCCTTTTACTTGCCAGCAGTAGTCTGTCACTCCCTGTGCGTGAGGGGATTTTTACCAGGCTGTTTGTTTCAGTGACTTGCTGCTTGCTTTGACTATCATGCCCAACTTTCTTATCACAGACTAAACCAACTAACAGTTAAGTGTTTAACTAATGCTCAAGTCAAGTTTACTCCTGTAAGTTCCTTATCAAATAACCATCATACTCTTAGATCCTTTCTGCAGGTATAGGAAAAAACCCATATCTTTTCTTTTCTGTTGGATGTAGGAGCGATGTGGGAACCACCTGTTCTGTGTGATGGACAAGAAACAAAACATTTGATAAAGGGAAGAAACACAGTATCTGATAAATGGAAGCCATGAAGATATCAAAGCGGTTCTTCGCTTTTGGGATTTTGGCATGCGTAGCTATTTATGTTGCATACATAAAATGGCACTTGGATTCCAAACCAGTCGTGGGAGCAACTGAAGGAGTTGCTGAAAGCAAGGGAGACAAACTGAACCATCAGGCAGTGACCACAGATCCCTCGGTCTTTTATGGAATTATGTTTGATGCAGGAAGCACGGGAACTCGCATCCATATTTTTAAATTTACACAGCAGCCAAAAGGTATGGCCTGCTCATTGCATGATAGATGAATTCTTCTGTAACATATGGAGCAGATTATTGATGATTCTTTTCTAGGGATTGCTTGAACAAACATGCTTCAGCTCTTTCTAGAGAGCCATCAGGAAGTGTATTATGATTCAAGTATGTGGGTTTGGATGAAATTACAAAAACATTCAACAAGGAGAAGATGCTGTGATGTCAGAATGTGAACTAAATAGCAGCTGTACCTTTAGAACGGTGCCTTGAAGAATTACAGTTCTTCACCGGAGTGCTTGATGGAAGAGAGGCTTGTAAATTCACAACTGCCTTATTCCCCCGAATTTTCACCATGAGGTTGTTGGCAGTTCCTGGCAGTTGTCTGATTTAGTGCATCCTTGGCTTCAGTGTTGGATTTAAATTGCAAATTGTTTGGTTAAAATTGCTGTGTGTTGCATCTGAATAGAAAGCATTGCTGGGAAGCAAGGCAGAAGTGTACAAAAAAGCTCCAGTTTTCCTCTGGAGTCCTAAGCTTCATTTGTGTAGGTGTCATCAGCTCATATTTGTGAAGCTCTTAAAGATGAAAGGACCCATGTGTTTGCTGTTAGTAGGTGATCTGAGGATGCTTTTAAGGATTAGAAGAGTGGTGTATGGTGTGAATGGTCTGTGGGGAGCACCCTGGGTTTGCAGAATGGGCTAGTGTAAGGCTTAGCCACCAAAGGCACTAAACAACAGTCTGTGCATTTCCTTCTTTGAGTGTATTCCCAAATCTTTGCTTCTTCCTTGCTGCTTCTCTTTAAACATAGTTTCAGAATATACTGCAGGGAACTTTATGGAGTGTAGTTCGGTACAGGAGGAGGGTGTTGTTGAGCTCATGTTGTTTTGCCTGCATGTTCATCTAATTGTCTGTACGGCAGGTTTCCAAAATACTTAGGTCTGGCTCCTCTTCTGCCATTGAAAATGATGGTAAAGCTTTTGCTGGAGTCAAGTTTAGCCAGCACAGAGCACGATGAAACTTGGGGTCTTTGTTATGTTACTGGTGCAGTTTGGAAAGCTGCACATAACAGCTGTAAGAACCCAAAGAGAACTTGCATCCGTCTGGTGATTGTCTGATGTGCATGAAAAATATGTGCGTAGCGGACGCCAGCACCTGAAAAACGGTCATGACTTTTAAAAATGTTTTTCTAATGATGTCATTTGTAAAACGGTTTTCTTTTTGTGTATGCAAAATTATTTATACCATTACTTATTTTGGAATCCTGCTTTTGAACAGAGACTCCCAAATTAACCCATGAGACGTTTAAAGCACTGAAGCCAGGTCTATCCGCGTATGCTGATGATGTTGAAAAGGTAATTTTGTTTCTGTTACTGTAAAAGTGTGTGCCCCAAAACCTACTGGTTTTGATACGCCCTGCAAATCACGTCTTGCTGTGGTACAGTATGCTGAACTGTCTCAGTTCTGGGAAGTGTCTCTAAATAATACAAGCCCATAGCAAAAGCTGGTCAATATGCAGAGGAGCAAGGACCAGAACACATCTAGTTGCACTTGGTGGTGTCCTTATTTAAGCACAGTGGATGTTTTTCCTCTCTCTGCCTTAAGAATTTAATTGCGCTTAAGAAAATGACAAAAGAGCTGTGTTGGAGTGGAGCAGAGCCTTCTCCAAAAGTGACCAGAATTGGATTCTCAGGAAAATAGTCTAAAAAACAGGCCAAGTACTAAGTGACTTCTCTCCTGTCTCGCTTACTTTCTGGCTTGCAGGGATTTAGGGACTTCCTGAGACAGACTTACACCCAGCTCATAGTATTTTACTGGCTCCGAAGGTCTTTTTTCTCAAGGATTTGTCATGCTGCCTTTTGAAGCTTTTGTAGCCAAAATATTCAGTGGAATACAGTTCTGTGTCACTGTTTGAAAAAGTGACTCTTCCTGTTTGTTTTTGACCTGTTCCTAGATAATCCCCATTATATCCACCAGGTCTCACGCTGTAAGAGATAGTGAGTCCTCCACCTTCTTCTGACTCCTTGTGATATTCACTTGTCTCTGTTCCAGATTTACAGCAAATCATACTCTCTGATCACCCTTCTGCCCTTCCAAGAAAGACAAATCTAGAGAGTTTCTAAGATGCCCTTTTTGTTCTTTGCTCACAGAGTGGCCAGGGAATAAAAGAGCTCTTGGAGGTGGCAAAGAAGGAGGTTCCTATGGAGCTGTGGAAGTTTACCCCTCTGGTCCTGAAAGCCACAGCTGGCCTACGGTTGCTGCCAGGAGAGAAAGCTCAGAAGTTGCTGGATAAGGTACTATTTCTTGTCTCGGCTTGCTTCCCAGAAATTTTACAGCAAAATTTGATCCCTTCTGTGTAAGGTACATACTCCTTTGTCTTCATGCACATGAACCATTCCCGTCATTTAACCCCCAAAGCAGTGCAGAGCCACCTGATCTCAAATAGGGTTGGGGGGAGAAATTGAATGAGCACAAGCACAGAGGAATGACAACAGCTCCGAATAAGCCTGGAGATGACATGTAACATAACAAGTGTAATGAGATACTCCTAACAGTTGCCTCAGACTTGTTCTTGCAGGGCATGTTTGTTGGTGCTTTTGATCAGGACGCTGCTATTTTGGAAGGAGCTCTTTGCTATTTGTAGGCCATGGTATCAGCCAGCTGCTGCAGGCTCCTTGCTCCTTTATATTGATTGGAAATAATGTGAATTGCATTAAAAAGCGTGTAATATATGTTTAATATTTTAAAATATTACCAAAAAAAATATTATATTCTAGACCTTACAGCTGTGGAAACAGTTTAAGTGTGCACTAAGTGTACTTTTTTTTTTTTTTTAAAAGAAATAATTGGAAGGAAGAAATGTGGCATGGTTGAAACTAGTTGTCTGTATTGTTCTCTGCTGCCTGTAAGCTGGCCCATTCTTTTCCACATTGAATTTCAGCTGGACCTGCTGGAGTTGTTCCTTTAGAGGACTCCAGAAACCTAGGGCTTTGCTACCTCATGTAGCATCCTACATCTAGCGTAGAGGACCTCTCACAGCCAACATGCTCCTGTTAAAAATGCCATTCCCTGGGGCATTGCTGAAAGCCAGTGTGTCCATCACCTGCCTCTCCGTGCATGTATAATGCCCCGTGGGCTGCCACTTGCAGCAAAGTAAACTGGGTTCTCTTCCCTATCCGTGTCCATCCCTTGTTAATGGCATTTCTGAGCAGTCTTCATGCTTGAAAACCTACACATCCATCCCTGTCTCTGCACCAAGCTGCAGAGCCAGCATGTAAATCACTGGCCTTTTATAGTGGAGTGCCCGTTGATGCTTTTTGGGCTTTTGAACTTCAAATAAAGTGGTGAGCAACAGTCAGGATCTGCCCAAGAAGAGGAGCAGTTGTGTATAACTGGAGTTTTTAAAAAACCTTGCTTTTCAGCTGAAAAAAAGATTTCTCTGAGTGTAACTTTTATTTGAACTGCAGGTGAAGGAGATTTTTCAGGCCTCCCCCTTCTTCGTGAGGGACAACTGCGTGTCGATCATGAACGGCACCGATGAAGGTAGGCTAACTTGTGGAGGTGCTTTCTGCAGTCCTGGAGATTCCTGCGGCAGTATTACAAGTCCCCACTCGCTGTAGTGGGAACCCACAAGCAGCGTGTTTGACACCGTGTTTACGCTGCCTCAGGCAGTGCCTGCTAAAGAGATCTTGTGCTGTGTTTTCGAATTTGAAGTCCTGAGCTCTGTCCTGGTTTTCAGAGCTCTGAGTGGGGCAGTTCCTGTGGGATCACCAGGAAGCCACTGTGCAGTCAGCACTTCTGGAAAGGTTTCTGCTTATCTGCTTGTTGAGACGGTCTTCAACAACTGGTTTTGCACACCCTGCTCTTGGCAATGCTCATCAGAGCTTTCTGGAAGTGTTTGGTCATAATGTTAATTATAACTGATCTCATGAGTGTGATTGTGAATTCAAGCTGAAAAAATGTTATATAGAAAAGAAGATACATGCTGAAGTCAGTTGATGCTCATCAGAAAATGCTGAGGACAGAACCCAGAATCAGTCTTGCTTTAAAATAATTTGAAGGAACGTGTAAATTCTAAGTAACTGAGTGTGGAAATGTGTTTAAATTTGCTTAGAGACCAAACTTTAAAATAGCTGGAGCTGTTTGGAGCTGTTTATGAGTTTCTCTTTTACTGCTTAATGGAAGAAAGAGACTGTAATTCTTCTTTTTGTTTTGTTTTAAAATCATTAATAGCAGTGACAGCCTTGGTTCCGCCAAGGGTTGGACTGGACCATGTTCCCTAGCATGCCTTGGGTTTTAACGACATGGATAAATAATTAAATTTGTTAACATAAGGCCTACTAATTCATCTAATTTATGGAGAAAAGATTTATAAACCAAGAATAGGACAGAAACAGTGTGGCTGACAAAAATGCTTAGAGGAAAATGGGAAAAATTAGAGCACTGAAAAGATGAAAATTCTTAGTATTCAAAAGGAAAGTTGAGTGCCTGAGAACAAACAAAAGCCTACCAGCGGATGTTTTCCTAGAAAATGAACAACGTGAGCGTCAGTCATTTCCTTGTCTTTTACCTAAGGATGGAAGCCTTTGTGACTTGTCGCCTAAGTTTTTGACCTGTGAAACACAGAGTTCTCCAGGCATTTCGTATATGGGGCTTCTCTTCCAAATACCGCATAAGCTCTGGTATAGAAGGTCATTCTCTTTGTTCAAGGCGTCTAATCTTGGGTTTTGACAGCCGTTGACAGTTGTGAGAACACTAGCTTTGGGGCAGGGTAGGTCAGGGGAGCTCAGCAGAGCCAGTCCTATTTGCCCTTCTTGAAGGTGCTTCTTGCTTAGCTCTCAGCTAGTCATCCTTTGGAGGCTTTGTGTTAGAAGTCCTCCGTTTGTGAAAGGGAGACAAGGGAGCTCGTGGCAGATGGTCTCAGGTGTCTGTCTGTCGTTGGATGACAGGCTCTGGTTTGCTGATTGTTTTGTTTAGACGGTGCACTTAAAGTGCATGAGAAAACTTAAAAATGCCTTCAGCTGAACAGATACTAAAGTAGGAAGACCTTGTAATACAGCTCGCCTTATTTGTTACTGTTGTTGGAAGAAATGAAATGGTACGATCTAACAGTGCATCTTCCGAATCTTTTCCTTATTAGGTATTTCAGCGTGGATCACAATAAATTTTTTAACAGGTACGTGTACATGAGCATGTGCATAAAGATATGACTGATGCTCTAAAATTTGTGCTGTTTTCTGCCCCTGCATGGGATTTGCTCATTCATTGGGCTGGAGAGGGAGAAAGCAGGATCTGGGAATAAGTCAGCAGTTGTTTTTTGGCCTGGCCTATTTAAGTCGTTAGGATTTTGGCCATTTACTTGACAGAGTGAGGAATTTAATCCCTTTTACTAGATGTTTAATGTAGCCTTTCTTTCAATTCCCTGTAGGGTACCAGAGCACTTTATTCCTTTTTTAGAGTCTGCCACTAGCTCTGGTTTAATTTTTAACGTGGGTATTCTAGATGTGCTTGGCTGCTGCACAGAGTGAAAGAAAGTGCTGTGCTACTTCCTTACAGTTTTATAACCTAGAAATACCACAAGTGTTTACCCTGCTGAGTTAGAAAAGGGTAGCTGAGGAGTAAATAAAAAAACTCAGCTGAAGCGCTCTCTGACAATAAGTAAAGCAGCCTGCCGTCCAAGCACTCTATTCAGCACACACAGTGTGTAGAGCAATACAGTAAGTGCTCTAAAGCTTTTTATGCTTACAGGAAATATCAGAAAGGTCAGAGATCTTCAAACATGAGCTATCGTGAGGTATGCCAAGGTACTTGGCACAAACTAGTCTTGTCAGGAAGGTGAATTTGAAGGATCTTACTGAGAAGAACTGGATTTAAGTGAGAAGAGAGGTGCTGGCCTGGCAGCAGGAAGATTTCCAAGAGAGCTGAGTCTCTTAGGTCAGCTCTTTTCAGTCTGTCATCCCCTTGGCGATAGGAATCTACAAAATATCACTTAAGGGATCAGGGAGAGGTGGCCAAGAAAGCCACACTCCTCTCTGTTACAAAGTGGTTGCCAGAGTAGAGTTTCAAAAGTGTCCTTGCATCCACTGAAAAGTGTTTAGGAATCCAGTAACCAAAGCTGCTGTAATTAGGGCATGAACAGCTGCCAGAGAAATAAGAGAAACTCTGTCACCTGAAGATTTTCAGGTCACCCCGATAAAGCCAGAGTCAGTGCCCAGCAGATGACAGTATGATTTAGTGCTGTCTGGAAGCTGACAGATGGAGTTAGATTGTCCTCTTTCTTTACCACTGTACTTCTGGTTTTGTTCCTAGCCAGTTTCTCACAGCGTTCTGTCACACATTTCAGGTAGCCTAGATGATCCGCAGAAGAGAAGTGTAGGGATGCTGGATTTGGGTGGTGGATCAACACAGATCACCTTCCTTCCACGCACCGAGGTAATGTGAACATGCACGCTGTTGGGAAATGCTGGTGCAGAAACCAGTAGCTGCTCAGATTTGTTTCCCTTGGAAACAGACCAAGAGTTTGTCAGTGTGACACGGAGCCACGCTTCTGACAGAAGAACCTAGGTCACTTGGTCACATCTGCCTTGTTGTGGTCAGTCACGGAGGCATTCACAGCTCTTTGTCAGTCCTCTTACTCCAGCTCTGTGGGTTGGTGGTGCATGTGGTGAATCTGCTGCTTTATCTTGGGGAAAATGCAGTGTGTGCCTGAGCATTTTAATCCTTGACTCTCAGTTTATGCTGCTTATAATGAAGACCTCAAAGGCAATGCTGTTAATGAATTCAAGTCCAACATTTGGCCTATATTGGGTTTTAAGAACACAGCAAGATGCCTTCTCAGTCCTTGTTCCTGGTTTTCCTGAGCTCACTCAGTTGCAAATGAAGGCTTTCTAAGGAGCAGCTGTTATTATGCGGTAAAAAATACATGCTGATGTTTGTCATCTCACCTTCCTGTTGTGGCATTTTTATGGGTGTTCTGTGAGCTGGAAGCCCTGTGGATGTGGAGATGTAAGGCTCTGGTCTGAGCAAGGATACTGTTCACAGTAAACCTGCATAAAAGCAGAGGGTTGAGATGCTGTATCTAGTGTCCCAGCCTGGGCTAACCAAGACATTGTGCTCTTACAGCAGAATGACAGGGGATGTGAAGAGTCCTGGATGTGGAAATTCTGGATTTGGAGTTGGTGTTAAGATATGAGCACCATGAAAAGAACATCATGGCCTGAGCTTTGCTCCGCACAAATGCGCTAGCAGTGCTGGTGCGCTTGGGGAAGAGACTGCAAAATGCTTTAGATAATTACCCTTTCATTTCCTTAGACCACAGGCTGATCCTCACTCTGTTCCTTGGCAAGCACAGGGATGTGCTTTTCCTCTGGCTTGTGAAAGTTCACAGCTGAATTCACTTGAGTAGGAAGTAAGTGCGTGCCTGGCTTCCATACTATTTTGCACACAGTTTTCCCTAGTGGGGATCGTGTGAAGAGGCAGTGGCTGTAGCCTCTTGAGAAAAGCAGTTAAGAGCTGGAATAAGGATTCCTTTTTAATTAAAATAATTCTTTTGTATGCCAATTTGTTGTGGATACAAACAGAAATATTTAGCCTCTGTCATGTGAAGATGCTATTTTAGCTCCAGGTTTTGTGGTTGTCTTGTGTATCAGTCAAATTAAAATACTTGCAATTTCATCGTTTCTCTCTGAACCGTGCTAGGATTGTTTCACATTTTTCCCCACATTTTGGAAGATGATGTTGTTGATGTTTGCTGCTGCTGGCAGACACCTTGCAGTGGCATCTTTTTCTCCTTCCAGGCAACTCTCCAGACGTCACCAGCTGGCCATACAACTTCATTTCAGATGTTTAACAACACTTACAAGCTGTATTCGTACAGGTTAGTTGTGGGAAAGAGAGCACACTGTACAGATAGAAGCTTTCTATGAAGCCAATGAGATCTGGGTGTTTTGCTGAAGTGGGATCCTTGCAAATGAATACTGGGAAGAAGAAGAGAAACCTGAGCCACATCACTGTGGTGGATTAACCTTGGCTGCCCACCAGGTGCCCACCAAGCTGCTGTGTCACTCCCCTTCCATCAACAGGACATGGGAAGAAAATACAACAGAAGGCTCACGGGTCAAGATAAGGACAGGGTGATCACTTACCAGTTACTGTCACAGGCGAAACAGACTCAACTTACAGAATTTAATTTAATTTATTGCCAGTTAAACAGTAGGATAATGAGAAATAAGAACAAAATCAAAAACACCTTCCCCCTGCCTCTCTCTCCTTCCCAGGCTCAGCTTCACTCCCAACTCTTCGACCACCTCACAGCCAAGTGGTGAAGGAAGATGGAGCATGGGGATCGCAGTCAGTTCATAACGCTTTGTCTCTGCCATTCCTTCCCCTGCTCCCAGTGTTTTGGGCAGAGGGAAGCAGCTTCTTCCCACCTGTGTTTGCTGTGGGTTGTGTTTGGGCTCAAAAAGTCAATTCTGTATGCTAGAGACTGTGCTGCCTTTGAGGAGGGTCAGAGAAACGTTAGGGGAATGCCTTCAGCATTCCCGGTTCTTCAAGAGCCGGATTACCATTGACAGCTATTCAGAGAGAGGGATTATCCTTCTGGGTAAGGTAGCATGAGTGGGTTGTCACACTGTTCCCCTTAATGTGCATTAGCTGCTGACTCGAGCCCTTTTGCTGGGACTGTGTAAAAGGGACTGGCATGTCCCAGCCAAGTTGTCAGTGGAGTATCGGAGGGAGGATGTTTGTTGTTCACAGAGACTTTTATCCCTTTGCAGTTACCTGGGACTCGGGCTGATGTCAGCAAGGCTCGCCATTTTAGGAGGAATTGAGGGAAAACCCTGTAAGTTACGGGCACTCCTCAAGTCTTGGCTCAGCATAGAGTGCGTAGCCCTGTTGTGAGAGGAGGAGCTGTCTGGCTCCTTCCCACTGGGCTCAAGGTTCCTGAGCGGTATGTGGACTCCTGTCACCACGGCTGGGTGCATTTGTGATGAATGCAGGAGGTGACAGTGCTAGATCCCAGGAGACCTGGATTCTTGCCAGCCCTGGGGCGGGGGGGCCATGGGACATCTGAGCCATGACTGGGCTTTGGAGGTGCCTTGCTGAGGCTGTGGGACAGCATGGAGCAGGGCTGGGGGTGAGGGGTCTGAAATTAACTCCTTATGTTTTTCCCTAATGGGGCTTTGTTTTACTTCTGCAGTAGGAGAAGGGGAGGAATTGATCAGCCCTTGCTTGCCACCTGGCTTCAAATCTGAATGGCAACATGCTGAGATAGTGTACAAAATTAAAGGACAGAAGGCAGGTATAGTGATTTATCACTCTTCTTGCCTAGGCAAGCATGCTATGAGCAGAGGAAATGATATACTCTCAGCCTCTTGCAAAGACACTAGATTCTTTGTTTACTGTTCTGTCTGGCTCCTCCTGATGTGCTGTTAAAGAGATTCTGCAGCTCTTTCCTCTTGTGCCATGATGTGTCTGTCCAGTCAGTAAAGCTGCTAGTAGTAATGCCGATGGAGTTGAGCAGTCCTTGAATAGGTCTTTCAAAATCCTTCTGTCTCAAATGATGTCCATCTCTGGTCTATTGCATGCTTAGTCCCAACCTGAGGATGGGAAGCGTTGCTGCTGGGAGAAGATGCAGATTTCACTTCTCTGTGAGGAGCTTACAAAGCGCTGTTGTGCAAAAGGGAGCCTGCTTCCTGGCGGATCCTAATAAATTGTGTGTATATTTAACTCTCTCCCTATAATACGCTGGGTTTCTTTGCTGCCTTTCAGGTGAGCCTCTGTATGAGTCTTGTTCTAACAAAGTGGCAAAGATGCTCTACAAAAAAGTGCATAAAGCTGAGGAAGTGAAGGACTTGGATTTTTACACTTTCTCCTACTACTATGACCGTGCAGCAGAGGTTGGTCTCATAGGTACGTTTGCTCCTGTTTTCATTTCATTTTAAATGGCAAGTTGTGGAAGAGATGGTAACATTTACACACGTCATGATGCTTTGCTGAGCTGTCATGGTAATTTAGTGTTTTGTTACCCTCTTGTGCAGTGTTGGTCTTAGCTGGATATTGAATGCTCTTTAATTTCTGTAGAGAAGAAATGGGGCCGTGAAATAGGATGCGCAACTTCTGGTAATGGCTTTTAAACAAACCGTCTGCATTCCAGAAATCGTCGTTGTCTGATTAACTCTACAACCCAAACCAGAAAAAAGCCCCTATAATGTTAAACAAATTTCTTGGGTGGTAAAGCAGTAAAGTGATCTTGGGCTCTGTGTTTTGCTTGACTGACCTTTTTAGATGGAATGAAGATTTTCAGACAATACCACATGCATTCAGAATGCATCCATCTCTTTTCCAGGGGTGTGCTGGTGTGCAGAAGACTGTTGTGTTCAGTGGTAGAAAGCAGATGATGAGATCTCAAGCTAGTTTGGACAAATATAACCCCCTCCTCAGGCACTTTGTTTTACAAATCATTTCAGATTTAGTATGTTGCAGAGCACCAGCACCCTGTCAGATCTGGTCAAAGGCGTTAACTGTGTTCAGGCAGCACAGGGCAGGGCAGCACAGACGTGGGGACAAGGTGAGAGGGTCTGTAAAATGTGTTTCTTTAGGAAATGAGACTAAAAGTTCTGCATAAGACAAGGCTTTTCAATCTATATTAAGAAGCTTTTAAAGATTCTTTTAGCTTTTAAAGCAATTGTGAGTTTTGTCATTGATTTCAGTGGCTCAAGGTTCAATTTCCAAACAGCTTTTATGACTTGAATCTACAATTACCTTTGTACAAAAACCATAAAAGACCATGTTGGGTTTTTTTTAGATAAAGAAAAAGGAGGAAGCTTAACTGTCAGTGACTTTGAAATTGCAGCTAAATACGGTGAGTAAAATACAATCAAACACACACTAGTAACTGTGTGTAAATTCATACCCAGGTGGCAAAGGTGTGACATGCTAAGAAGCCTAATTTTTTTTTTTTTTAAAGTAAATATTGAGGACCTCTCCCCATAGCATCTCGCCAACATTTCTGCTTATTTCTGAAAGTTTCAACTATTTTTATATTAATTCTTGCTTTTGCAGCCCACGTAAGACACATCTTACAATACTTGTATTTCAAAACTCCCTCAAGAATTAATGATAAACTTGCCAGTTAAGTTGTCCTGAAATCACGCTTTCTAAATAGATGTGGGGGTTCTCATCCTCTTAGCATGCCCCGTTCTAATGTGGTTTAATTTTTCTTTTTGTCTCAAGATTTGTTCATATCCTTGATTGTTAATCAGAAAAGGGGGAAAACCGGTTCATAGCTTTTCGTGTCATTAGCTGCAGAGAGAACTGCCTATGCAGGTTTACAAATGTAAACATTCTTTTCTTAATATGACGAACTCAGGCTTTGATCAAACTGACACGGGGCCTTTTGGTAAACTTTATGAATGACTGAACAATTGTTACAGTTCTGTTGTCTGGACTACCATTTGTGTAACTCATCCTGGGAAAGGAAGTGGGATTTGTTTTGGTTTTGTCTTTTATTTTTCTTTTCTTTTGTCCTTTGTTTTTGGGTGGGGGGTGGTGGTTGGGGCCGTGTCAAAATCTCTTGAGTGCTTATGATCAAGAAACACATCTGAGGTTGCTCAGATATTTAAAGGCTTGAAGTAGATAGAAGAAAAGTTGGAGGCCCTTTTCATCCTTTCCTGGAGAGATACAAGAAACTCAGCTGTCTTAGGGGAGAGACAGAATGTCTTGGTCTTCCTTCCAGTGTGCCAAAGCTTTTGTGCTTCTGCTAACGTGTGCCTGTCATTTCACCCTCATTGTAACAGGTTCCATCACTGCGCAACTGAACTGACAAGAGGTGTTTCATGGATTCATTTGAGGTTTTTCAGAGCTGGGCTGATGGTAGGCCCCTACAGTGCACATTCAGATCACTCTTTTCTTTCTCCTTAGTGTGTAAGACCATGGAAATCAGCCCCGGAAGCAGCCCTTTCCTCTGCATGGACCTCACGTACATCACCTTCCTCCTGCAAGAACTGGGCTTCCCAAAGAGCCAAGTCTTTAAGGTGATGCACAAAATGGATTGCTGGGAGGAGTGGGCAGGAGGGTGCCGAGGCAGTAGTCGTCGTGCCAGTAGCTCGGTCCTTGATTTGCCTTCTTGCTACAGCACATGCTCTGTGATTGGGGGTTGGAGGGACGCTGTCCCCACAATGGTGATAGCCGGTTGTGAATAACCTTCAGCACTGTGTTCATCTTGCGTGCTTCTCCTTCTCCCAGAAAGATGTGTTTTAACTTTTTTGTTTGCCTTTTTTTTTTTTACTTTTTTTTTTTTCCAGCTTGCCCGGAAAATTGACAATGTTGAAACGAGCTGGGCATTGGGAGCCACTTTTCATTACATTGACTCACTCAATAGACTGCAGTTCTAAAGCTCCTTGAAGGTGACTTTTGGGAATCTCAGTTTTTGGAAGCCCAGCATGGGAGAATCTATCAAAGGGCTTGCTTTTGGCTTCCGGAGTCCTTTGAGAGGTCATCATAAACTAGGCCCCTTTCCTCCCACCCCCTGCCAAGTCCTCTCCATCACTAGCTCTTTTTTACAGTGCAGAGTGCAGTATCTAAAGAATAAGCCTTGATTTGACAGCATCTACCATCAGCTTGATGTAAAACTTGATCGTTGTTGAAGGAAAACCAGGACTCTGCAGGACGTCTATGATCTCTATGAGAAAAACACACGTTTTTTTGGAATGTGCCTGTACTATGTGCTTGTACTGTGCTGAAGCTGCTGTAGGAAATGGTCACTCCAGAAGGAACGCTTTACTGTCCTCATGTCAGGGTGTTTTTTCCTGTTTGTCAGCAGTTTTCAGTGATTATTTTTATTTTACCACGTGTTTGAAGGTGAACTTGTGTCTGTGCGTGCAAAGACAGTGGATCTACCACAGATGTGCTGCTGACAGGCAGCAGCTTTGAAATGCAGTGTGGAAGTCTCCACTCTGCTTTCCACTTGCTGAACAAGAAAAGCTCAGGAGCAATCTAGAAACTGGATATGGACATGGAGACAGGAATCAGAGCCTGTATGCCTTGTACAGTGAAAGCTTGCAGCCTGCTGTTGGTTCCCTGGCTGTTGGGAGATGGATGGTGGAAGACAACATCAGATTTGCTGGATCTGGGTGAGCAAGGCCTGGGGCTTGGGTACAGGGCTCATGATGGATTTGACAGTTCTAGAGTCCGTGGGGGTAAGATCAACAAACAAGACGCAGCCACAGAAATAAGCCCTGAGCGTGGCTCATTGGACCTCATAGACATTTGTGCCTTGGCAAGGTTAATGCAGGGCCCAGGGTGAATGTTTTTACATGGTGTTTTGGGTGCTGCTTCCTGCCGACGCATCTCACTTTGAGAAATGAATGTATTGTGGTTGCACCAAGCTGTGGCAGGGTAGCTGCAATGCACCACTCCAGTGGTGTCCTGTATGCCGGCTGGAAGTGATCTCGGAGGCAGCAGGAGCTGGGGAGGCATGCTGTGCTATTTGTAATCTAACTGTGGAATTGTGTTGTGTTCGTATGGGTGTTTAGAGCAGACCCTAGTGGTCTTTTGGGGGTGCAAAAGACCCAGGCTCCCAGAGAGCCAGCAGTGCATGCCCTGACTTGTGGGCTCACGGCCACAGCCTCGCCCTGTTCCTGGGGTAGCGAGACGTGGCATGGCGGCGTGGGGTGCTGCGTGGCCGCTGGGGCTGCAGCCGAGTGTACAGGGGACACTGGAACCCCACGGTACAGACAATAAAACCCCAATTTAAAATGAAAACGTGGTCGTGGTGTGGCTTTTAGCGCCAGAGCCTGCAGGGCAGGTGGGTTGAGAAATGAGCGCCTGACCCCATCCC